AATTCACGGGATTTTCGGCATATGTTTTGCCATATATTGCCACGGATTCTGTGATATACATCTCAATTAGTGGTATAATCTCCTTGTCCTCGGGAAATACATGTAAAAACTTATAGTCATTGAACGTGCGACCCCACTCATAACAAATTGAGCCAAAGTCCAGTCCCCTATAGCCATAACCAGAGCCATCAAAGTCGCAAAACACCACCAATTCATCACCATTTGTATCATCGCTGATATCGTTATTATTCTTGTCCTTCAATACCATGATATTAGAGCTCCGAAAGTCGTTATGTCCGAACACTAACGGACTACCGGTGCTCTCAATCAACTGCTTGAGCCACCCTTTTTCCAGTTCCAGGTCATACGTCTTAAATGTTTGCATTTCATACTCATCCATGAGTGCTGTCAAATTGGGATACCTGTCCACACAGTCAAACAAGCCGTCTAACCATTGGGACATCGAGTGAAACTTCTTAACGGGCGCCTCCATTGCGTGCCATTTCGCCAGATTCTTGAATACCTGTGCCCTTAGTTTGGGATCCTTTTGCTCCTTAACACCAAACGGCCGGTGCTTTTGAGGTAAACATAACAGTAAATAATTTAATATAATATAAAAACTTTTTATTTAATATAAGGGACAGGGATTAGATATGCCATACCTTATAAAAAGCCAATATCTCTCCGCCTTCAAACAAACCATATATCTTAGGCCCCAATCGGCTCCGGGAGGCCATGACTGCCGTCACCACATCATTGAGTCGTTCATTAGTTTTAGTCTCATTATCACCAAAACTATCATATTTGGGTCCATACAGTCTTATAGCCACCTCCTGTGGTACACCATGTGAATCGGCAACTGGTCTACCGATAGCGCAATAATAGAGTTGGTTCACAACGCCTCCCATAACCCTCTTAACCACAATCGAATCGACCGTTTGTTGGCCCCAAACACCGGATAAGTAGTCTTTGCATAACTGTAGGCACCGGGAGTTGATGTCGGGAGGGGTCGGACCGTTACTCAACTCAATCTTATTGAAGTCAAAATCCAGTGAGTCTTTCACGTGATTAGGCTTTTCAAGTGATTCAGTAGTCATTGTTTGTATCAACGATTTTGTA